CAGGCCCACTGAAGCCCTACACAATCAACTGTTATTGCTTAGTTAGATCAGGACTGATATTAGTCCTGAATCATGGTTTTCATGTAATCAGTCATGATACACATGCAAAAATCAGCCATTTACAATCATGATAAAATTTGTACTGATTCATCCAAGAATATCAAGCATGATCTATAATTCAATGTGTCAGGGCTGTACCAGTATAATGATATCAGACTTGGTCCATTACTTTAGGGCAAAAGTGCTGATTCAGGCATAATAACTTTTGGTTATGTACAGCTCTAGTTGCAGCATAGTCTAGACCAGACTAGTTGTAAAATGTTAATTTGCTTATTAATAATTACATTTAAAAATATTATCATTCTATTTTTTACACACTAAGAAATGAAAAGTGCCTTAAAAGAACTGGAGAGATCTTTATCAGTAGCATCAGGTATGTACATGTACACATTAATCTAAATATAAGCCAATGGTCACTGTACAGATGAAAAAAGTGAACTGAAAAGAAATCTTGAGACAAAAAATCAGGAAATTGATCATTTAAAAGTGTCTGCTCAAGAGAAAGATGAAGGTAAAGGATATCAATGATAAATTTTATTTCTTATTGTTATATTTATGTACAGAAATGAAAGGCGCCAAGGAAAGAATACAAGAGCTGGAGAAGTCTTTATCATTAGTGTCAGGTATAATTGTAGACTCAAACTAACATAGTCAGTCTATACATGCATATTGCAGCTGATATGAACAAGATGAAAAAAAACCTTGAAACAAAAATTCAGGAAACTGATAAATTAAAGGTGTCTGCTCAAGAGAAAGATGAAGGTAGAGAATATCAATGATAAATTTTTATTTCTTATCGTTATATTTACGTACAGAAATGAAGGGTGCCAAGGAAAGAATAAAAGAACTGGAGGAGTCTTTATCATCAGCATCAAGTATAATTGTAGACTCAAACTAACATAGTCAGTCTATACATTCATATTGCAGCTGATATAAACAAGCTGAAAATAAGCCTTGAGACAAAAATTCAGGAAATTAATGATTTAATGGTGTCTGCTCAAGAGAAAGATGAAGGTAGAGAATATTAATGATAAAGTTTTATTGCTTATTGTTGCAGAAGCTAAGGCAAAAATAGAAGAACTGGAGGGATCTTTATCATTAGCATCAGGTATGTACATGTACACATTAATCTAAATATAAGCCAATGGTCACTGTACAGATGAAAAAAGTGAACTGAAAAGGAATCTTGAGACAAAAATTCAGGAAATTGATGATTTGAAGGTTTCTATCAAAGAAAAAGACAATGGTAGAGTATACTTTGTAGCTTTATTTTTATCATCAATTCATTATAGAGTCAGATTCTAAGATTAGGGAGTTACAAAGTATTATCCATGAAAAAGAAGAAGGTAACTAATTTAAATAAAAATGAATTACATGTATTTTATATTGCTAATAAAGAATTATTGTCCAGTCAACAATTGCTCAAAAGGAAAGAGAAAGAAGTCAATACACTCAGTGAAGGAATTACTGGTATGTGCTGACATGCATCATCAATCTAATTAAATGCACTGTAGTTAAAGAGATAGAGTCAGCTTCATTCAGAAAACTGTCAGAAGAACAAGTACAAGAAATAGTGGCATTGAAATTAAAACTAACTGACAAGCAGAAAGATATTGGTACATTTCATCTTTTGATAGTCATACATACACATATTTCATTTTTATAGCTGAGAAAGAATCAGTGATAAAGTCAACAAATGAAGGTAATGGTAAAGTTAAGAAAGTCACTATACTAAACACATTGTAGAATTATTATCTGTGAGACAACTGCTAGCTGACAATCAACAAGATATTGGTATGTTTTTATCTTTTAATCATGCATAATTATATCAATTTTTATAGCTGAGAAAGAATCAGTAATAAAGTCAATAAATGAAGGTAATGGTAAAGTTAATTCATTGAAAAGTCAATCAAATCAAACACATTGTAGAATTATCATCTGTGAGACTACTACTATCTCACACACAAGAAGAACTTAAGTTGCAAAGAAGTAAGCAAATGTGCAAAGGATAATGATACATAATTTTTAAACAGATGAGTTAGAAGAGAAATTAAAGACGCAACATAGAATTAGTAAAATGAAGGATAGAGAAATTGAAGGTTTGAAGGCTATGCTATACCCAAGAAATGAGCAAGATATGATCACCAGCATAAGTAAGTGACATATTGTGTTCATACACACTGTTTTGCACTTATTGTTATGGCAAGAGTAGCAGTAGTAGTACAATGTGCGTGCACACAGGGTTCAAAGCAGTTATTTACCATTTATAATCTTTTGTTTGTAATAGAGTGGAGTGAATCTGAAGTGCGTCTTACTTCTCCATCAGCAGAGCAGTGTACAGATGTTCTAACAAGAATAGACAACAATCATCGACAAATTTATCTCAGTGATTCATCTTCTGATGTTGCTCAGTTGTTAATAGTACCTCTGCTGCAGAAGAAAAGTGTTAGCAGTTTATATATTTTCTCAACTCCATTAAGACATGACTTCATTGACCTTTTCTCATCTAAAATGTTAGATAACAACACATTGGAGAGTCTGTATCTCAATCACAATTCCATTGATGATGATGGGGTCATTACTCTAGTGCAATCACTAAAACATAACAAGAAGCTTCAGTACTTATCGCTGGAATTTAATACTGAGATTACTTCACTCAGTGTTCCATCACTTGCTGAATTTATACGCATCGACTCCACATTGTCTGTTCTTTATGTTGCTAGCACTAGCATTGATGCTAAGGGAGTGCTGGAACTGGTTGATTCACTTAAATTCAACAAAAGACTTGGAAAGATTGTGGTAGATCACAAACACAAAGCAATATGCTCTCAATTTGTTGGTAAAACTAACAGACTAGACTTTTCCTATTCATCTACCACTGCTTATGAAAATACTGGCATTACCAAGTTTTAAAACCAATAGATCTATTTTGTTTACATGTGGTTGATGTGTTATTGTCTATTTTTAGTGTCAAATTAATTTAATTTAATTTAATAATAATTTTACAAGATGAGCATAAGTATAAGTACCGAAGGAGAGAGAAAGGGATAGACGGGGGATAGAGTCATTTTGATGGGATAACCACAAGAGCTGCAGATACCCCGAGATAAAATAGATTATAGTATAATAGTACTGTTAGGATTTGTGTGCATAAGCATGAACAAAAAGGAAAATTAGGATAAAAAAACAAGATCGATGAAAAATAATACATAATTATTAAAAAATTTAGTAAAATAAAATAAAGTACTTCATGAGTCTTTCTCTATAGCTGTTTTTGTTATTGGTAGCATGTCATAATTTCTGGAATAATTATTATATTCATTGTATTGTTAGAGAAAAATTTCCTATTGTCTCATAATGATATGCACATTCTAGTACAGTTCTCACAGCCAGATCTGCAGAAGCTGTATCAGCATTTCTGCCTGCCCCGCCTACATTGCTTAGTGGGAGTATACATAGTTGTGTCAGTTATGGCCGATCGCTATCCTTCTCCTTCTCTTTATGACACTTTCTTAAATGAGAGACCATCTTCAGAAGAGCTAGCTGAAGTAGATTAGAAAGGTTTTAATGTGGTGTTAGGATTGACTGAGGAAGCCTTAAGTGTTTTGCCCAATGAAGAAAAGATTAGTCTCGCTAGCCAGACCATTCCCCAGCCTACCCAAATGACTGTAGGCTGGGGAATGGTCTGGCTAGCGAGACTAAGAAAAGATCAAGTTATAACTCAGCAATGCTCCTAATGCTACCAGAAGGGTTTTACTGGGGAAGTTGGAAGGAGATTCAGCTAAAAAATATGAGGAAAGACTAAAGGAGATTTATGAAACAAGCTGTAAGTGATAATGATTACTCCTGCTTTGAGATTGATAGTCTGTTTCTAGGTGTTGATCAGTCAAGGGAACCAAGTTTAGAACATGGGGAAATTGTTAATGGCATGGTTGATGAAGAGCACTATATAGCACAAGGTATAACAAATCAACATTACAAATTTGATAGATAAGTTACCTCTACAAATAATCTTTTAGCTACAGATAAGAACGATGATGGTGATTCAGTTCTGTCACCAGGAGTTAAGTTTCGAGGTGAATAATCATTTTCCTAAGCATATGATTGATTTGATTATTATTTATTAGAAGGACATGTATATAGGAGTGGTGCAAACAAATGTAATACCATTATTGAACATCATGAAATGATGAAAGATAATTTTGAGGAAATTAATGTAACATTTCAAACGATGATTTTTGAATTTCAAGATAGTTTTTCTGAGGCTGGCATACCAGTTGAGAAACTCCTAAAGTTCCTCATGTGTTTCCCAGGTCTTAAAGATCAATTGGAGCAGCTTATGGAGCCACGAAAAATTCGTGACATTGTAGAAGTGCTAAAGACAGAGTGCAGTATCGTCAATGTAAAGCCTTTTGAAACATTGGCACGTTCATTTAATGTGGAAAAGGCATCAAAGGTTGTCAGGGACTACAAAAAAGCAGTTACCGAGTTTCGAAAATCTGTACGTCAATATTGTCACTTTGATCAAGAAGCACAACAAAAAAATGATGGCCGCCTGAAAGCCGTATTTGTTATGAGCTGGGATGCAAAAGATATCCTTGATGTTCTTGGAGAACTGAAAAGTTGTCATATTCAAGTTGATTACAGCCAAACTGGTCGACCTATTGTAATTTGCAAATGTCCTGTCACTGATATTGTATTACTGATAGCCTTTGTTCTTGAGAAAATAAAGATTTTGAAGGAAAGGGGATTAAAGGAATTTTTAGTTGGAAAGTGCACCATATGGGACAGCACAGTTGATGAGGTAAAAAAATCACTGCTTGTATTTAAAAATATTTATGATGTTTATAGTTTTTGTCAGTTATAATAAAAGAAAGGAACAAAGAAGGTATTAAAATTTGAAATTGTATTCTTTCAAAGCTACATGCACCACCATTGATAACTTAGTATTATATACTTGCACTCATGTTAGGTGTTCAGAGAGAAATAGCATCCCTGAAAGAACAGTTGGCTGCTAGAGACAACCAAATAGAAGAATTTCAAACAGGTAATCAATAATTAAATCTACCAACATGTATAATTCACCTATATGATACCTAATGCACTTGCACTTATAGAAATAACA